TTATTATAGAAGATCAAATGGTAGAAGGGAGAATGATGTTGTAAGCTGCTTTGACTCCTCAAATAAAACAAATACTTTTAAAACTAAAAGACGTTTTGTGGGACTTTAAGTAAATATTGTTCCATAAAATCTTATGGGGTAGAACAATCTGTATGCAGATCAAATGAAGAGGATTCTAATCCACCAACATTTATACTACAATAAATCTGTTTCTTTAAAGAGGCAGATGCCTCTTTGCAGTTAAAAATAATAATAATTTGATGAAGTGCTTACTCCTGAAGCATGGTTTCCAGAGAGCATCTCCTTCTTGTTTTACCAAAGAAAAGCAAAACCTGTCTTGGCTGTTTTCAATGCTGTAATAAATCTCTTAATATTTAAAAATCATTCCGCAAACTGGGTAAAACAGAATTGTTCAGGAGGGCATTTCTATAAAGGGAATAAGTCCATAGTATAACAGAATGGAGGATGCTTTTATAAAGGAAAATGATAGCAGTCTTTCCTTCTGTTTACTGTATGTATACACTTTGTCTTGGGGATGTGGAATGGTATGATATAGCCTGATATTGCCAGATCCTGGAAGCTACTTAGGGTTGGTCCTTGAATGGGAGACCACCAAGGAAGACTCTGCAAAGGAAGGCAACGGCAACCCACCTCTGTTTCTCACTTGCTTTGAAAGCCCTTTGCTGGGGTAACTGTAAATCAGTTGTAACTTGACACATTTTGGTGTAGCAGTTATGAGCGCAGACTCTAATCTGGGAGAACCAAGTTTGATTCCCCACTCCTCCACATGCAACTGCTGGTGTGACCTTGGGTCAGACATAAATTCTGTCAGAGCTGTTCTCTCAAGGGCAGTTCTCGAAAGAGCTCTCTCAGCCCCACCTACCTCACAGGGTGTCTGTTGTGGGGAGGGGAAGGGAAAGGAGATTGTAAACCACTGTACTGAGTACTGAAAGGCAGGATATAAATCCAATCTCCTCCTCCTCCTCCTTATTTGATACATAATTGCATTCTCCTTCCTTTTTTTGCATTATTTGTGACAAATTTTGTCTGATACTTTTAATTTTTTTGCAGTGTTTCTAATGTTTGTGATTCTGGTCCTATTGCATTGCTGGATGTCTCAGGCTATTTGATTGCACTGTTTTCCACTGTGTTACCTGCCCTGAGTCTCAGCAAGTTATAAAAAGGTAAATAATACAATAAAGAACTACAAAACTGCTCTTTGTTAATTGTGTTGGAACAGATTAACAGGGCTATCATTATGGAAGGCAGGGATGCCTCCTAGTATAGCCACCACAGCCATGATAAAAGAATGCCATGGACCAGAACTTTGGGATCCTTCAGCATCCACCATCTTACTTCTACTGCCTTCCATTTGCCTCTCCAATGCAAAGTCCTCCTAAAGCCTGCACAGGGCATCTTTTGAGTTATCCCTCTCTCCTCTCTGTTGCTGATATGTTCAGGAAAAGAGAGAGAGAGAGAGAGAGAGAGAGATCTAACCATATGACTGAGACTCAAACCGCAGACACTATGAAGTCCATACACGCAGAGCCAAACTACACATTACGAACATTTCAGAGGGGAATTTATTGCTGCAAGGACCTGATCCCTTGTTCCCCTCCTGTGCCTTTTCAAGAAGGGGGGGGGAACAAGGTTGTTTGGTGTCACCACAATGCAGCAGCAAATTTTAAATAGCTAAATTTTTCTCTAAAATGGCACTAACAGCCAAGGGCTGAACTCACAGGTGCCATGACATGCAGTGTGGCCCTAAGTTCAAGCCAATAAGGCTATTTCACATGTACATATGAAGTTGCTATCGAGGTCAGTATTGTCAGCTTAGACTGGCAGAAACTCTCCAGGGTCTCAGGCAGAGGTTTTTCATATCACAGACACAGAGAAATAACACATACATACATACATACATACATACATACATACATAATTCTTCTAACCCACCCAAGAAGGTTGGGACCATGACATGAGATCTGCAAAGCACTTTGTACACTGAATGGAGACACAACAATTATTGTTACATGCTGCTAAACCAGTGAGGGGTCTTCTGATCCCATAAACTGGCATGTAGCAGAGTGGAATAAGTGAAATCCAGAAAAGTGGTAGAAAAGCAACAGCTGTTCAACATGTAAGACAAAATTGGAAAGTAAAATTCGGTATACAGTTTTAAGGATGGGACAAAATAGGCAACGCCCACCCCCCAGCATTTGTGTGGGAGTACACCTATTCAAGGAGTTTTGTAGAATTAAAAACTGGATAGGGTGCTATATACTTGGACATATTTTTCTCCCATCTGGGAAGCGGAGGGTGCGGACTATTTTCAGACAGATTTTTTTTAGAAAGCCCCTACATAATAGGTAACCATCATAAAATGTAGCTTCACTAAACAAAGTAATTCTCAGTAATACACAGACATTAGGAACCAACCCATTGGAAACTTAACCAAGAAGAAGCATGTGTAAAAAAGCAAGAGTGTGATGCTCCAGCACAGTTCCCTGGATGTAGAGTCCATACCTTCGAGAGCCCCTTTCTGTCCCTCCCCGCTTCCATGCTCAGGGCACCACTTCATATGCATAATCTAATACTTGGGCAGTCTTTGTGTATGCTTAAAGACCATTCACCCTGCATTTAATCTTCCTTGCACCACTATATAAAATATTTTGCATCACTGTATGACATTGTTGACCTCTTTTAATGGATGCTATTATATCAAAGGCATTCACAACCCTGCTGACCAAAGCCTTCCTGTTTATTAGGGTTATTAAGGTCTTCAACCAAATGCAGAAACATCCTTTGTTAGCAACACTGTCCTAATTGAATTTTTTTTTTTTACAACTTGCTATCCATTGCAAGTTTTATTCTGTTGCAGGGTTTGTATTCCAAATTGTAAATTAACATATTTATCACCAAATGCAGCAGCAAGGTGGAAGGAGAGAGATAACCGGAGGGAAATGGCTCTGATTCTAGCCTGTCTAAAAAGACCATCTGTCTTTGCTGGAGCCACTTTCAGTGCTCCGTGGGCTCCCTTCCATATTGCACCTATGCTACGAAACATGTACCTGTGTCTGAGCTGTCATACATTAGGACTAAGTCCATGCAGATCTGAATCTGAGCCAGATTTGCCAATGTATCTGCAGAACAAAACCAGGGCTCATCCCTGAAACATGCCCTGGAGGGTGTATTCACCACTGAGTAATACCAACTTCCACACATCTGGGAAGATGGGCATGGATTTACATGGCAAAACATCTAGGCAACCTTCATCCTCAGCATTTCTTTAAAAACTAAGCACTAAACATGTGTCAGTTTCTAAGGAAAACTGTACAAAGCTTATCTGGGACTTCCCAACCAATACCATGAAAAATAAGGGAATAGAACCCCCAACCAAACACAGTAACCAAAACAGTTGATACGAGTAACTTCTTTTTAATCAGCTGTGCTCAATATACAGAATACAGTGGTCCAATTAAAATCTATCAATCAGTTAAAAGGGGCCAAATGGAACCAATACTGGAAGTAACCATACTCAACTCATATAGTCTTGGCCAGCCTTAAAGACTCAAAGCCATCCAGTAAAAACTTCCAACCCCATTTTGAGCCCTGCCTTCACCAAAGAAGCTTATGCAACATATACCTTTCAGTTCATCACATTCATGAAAAGTCATCTGTGTGTTCTTCACCTAAAGAAATTAATTCCTTAAGTGAACTAAGACTACAAGGATTTGGGCAGTCTGCAGCATTTTAGAACTGGTGCTTCCAAAACTTGGATATATTTTGGCATTTTTTTAATACTTGCTTTTGCTTGTCTGATCTTGGGAACAGGCCTTTTCCACATCACACAGTGGCAAGGGACTGAGAGACTTCCGGGAGAGTTTGGCATTTACCCACTGCATAAACATAATATATCACACCGCCCATTTAAGAGCCGGACATCAGGATGAATATCTCTCTATGCCTCCTTTTCTCCCACTGCTTCTCATTATTGGAACAGCCAACCAGTACCGTCTGCTATTAGCTCCCATAATTGTCTTGCTGAGAGAGTCAGTGTACAGTCTCTGGTAACTGATCTCTCGCTATTGTGCCCCACCTGTTACCGACTCTCACACTATTCTTCTGCAAATAAGAGCCTATTATCCATCACCTGCCATTGACCTCACCCTTATTGTGTTAGCTGCTCTGATCAGGGCAAGCACGCTGGGTTCTTACCTGGCAATGCTTGTCAATCAACTGATGTTACCCTATTACTGCTCTTGCTCAAGAGGGCAAGGCGTCATCACAGGTCAGAGACAACTGGGAAGAGGGGGGGAAATCCTTTCCAGCAATAAGAGGAACAAGAAGAACAGAAATCAGCCTGGTGTGGACACCTACAAGATTCTGTCTTCCTCAAGGTTACTAATCAAACATCCACAGATTAGGGTGAAATCTCATTTTCCCCACTTTAAAAATCTGTACTAGGTGGGGAGTTCAGCAACTGGAAACCCCTGGGCCAAATCTGGCCCCTTAGCTATACTGCTAGTTTCCAGCTCAGAGACAAAAGATAACATGGAGGAAGTAATTCTTAGACAAGCTAGCAAGACTCTTGGATAACTCTGGGGAGTTGGGCCTCCACACATCACTCAGATCAAGGAGAAGTTGCCACGACTCAGTCAGAGAGCATCTGCTTAGCAAGCGGAAGGTCTCAGCTTCGATCCCCGGCAACTCCAGGTAAATGAATTAGGTAGTAGGTGACGTGAAAGATCTCTACCTGAGACCCCGGAGAGCCACTGCCACTCTGACTAGACTGTACTGACTTTGATGGACCAGGGTCTGATGCAGAATCAGGCAATTTCATGCATCCTCCCAAAGCAGCCCTCCACTCAAATGAGGGTGTGTGTGTCTGAAACATACAGAAAGATAAACCCAGAGAATCCACTTCCAGGGGATTTTCCTGCTGGTCCTTGCACAGTTTTCCCCCCTCACCCCTTGCCTGCCTCTCCCTTGCTGGCACTTACCTGACCCGGTTGTCATGGAACTTGCTGGGCTGGGGCTGGTTCAAGTAAATGGTGCGGGCTGCTGCCTCCTCGTGGTCCACAGAGGACATGGCCCCGGACATCTCATCATCCGCCTTCTTGTAGCCCGAAGGGGGGCAAAGGGGTCCTGCAGATCAGCAGCAGCAGCAGCCGAGGGGGAGAAAGAGAGAGGGGGGGAAAATCAGTGCTCAGAAAGAGTTAGAGGGAGCAGAGAGACGGAGAGAAGACCAGGAGGAGACTGTGCGCGATGCAACCATCCCGCCGTGCATTTTATCCAGCGCCGCCACCCCTACCCCTCGCAGCGTCCGCGCCTCGACCAGCGGACCTGGGGAAGGAGGAACCCCAGCAAGAGCTGCAACCTCAGTGTTGTTGCCCAGCCCAGCCCAGCCCTGCCCTGTGCGTGCGCGCCTGGGAGTGAGTGTGTGTGCGCGTGCAAGACCAGCAGCACGCCGGAAAGCCCGGCTGGCAGCGAGAGGGAGAGAAAGCGGGAGCGGAAGGGAGGCGCAGACCTGGCCCGCCGCTCGCGCAGGCAGCGAATAACAAACAATACTCAAAGTCAGGCCAGCGGCGCCAGGCGACACCCCCTCCAGGCCCGGCCCTACGAGTTTGAAGTCCACCCACTTATTGATTGGCGGCGGCAGACCGGAGGAGAGCCTCGATCGCGGAGATGTAACGGCGGGTTTCGTTTGCGCGGCGGAGGGGCTGGGGGTGCAGGAAACACACGTGCCGGGTTTACCCGGGGCCGGAGGATCAAATAGTCGAAAGGTCCCAAGAAACTGGCAAGGAAGGCAAAATGCAGAGGCGAAGAGGGAACAGGGTGGATCGAAGCGATGGTTTTTGTTTGTCCCTCCCCCGAGGAGTCTCCACCCTAATCTTCAGCTAAAAGAATAACTGATGAATAATGCAGGGTCCCCGTGGAAAAGGGGAGCTCAGACACGGCGGGGGGGGGGGGGGGGGGGGGGGAGGAGGAGGAGGGAACAAAGCTGAGAGGGAAAAGCTCCTGCAATATATGCGTTTGTGGGGGAGGCAGGATTTGCCCAGAGTTCCTCCCTTGCACTCAAACCAGAGGAAAAACAATGAGACGAGAGAGAGGTCACAGCCCAAAGGAAAGAATGAACAGCAAAGCTTCTTCTTGAAAGTCCAACTAGAGCTGGGTCCCCCCCCCCCCAGGGAAAAAAGGTTGCCACGTGCCAACCTCCAGATGGTAGCTTGAGATCTCCAGGGATTGCAGCTGATCTACAGGGGCCAGGGATCAGTTCACCCAGAGAAAACGGCCACTTTGGAAAGTGGACACCCCACTGAGTTCCCCCCCCAAAAAATCCCACCTTCCTTAGGCTCTGCCCCCAAAACCTCCAGGCATTTCCCAACTGGGAGCTGGCAACCCCAACTCTGCTAATGCGTGACTCAGTGTACTGGCTTATTGTACTGGCTTATTGTAGTGGACACGAGGGACAGCCCACTGTTTGAATATCCCCAAAATCTCTCCTCCACCTGAAGGTGGGGATAATTACATTGGCCTACCATGAGAGTTGCTGTAAAGATCACTGAAAGAGAGATGTTCCATCGTAAATAATTTTATTTTTATAACAAACGGACACAAACAAAACTAAACATGATACATACAAACATACAGTGGGAGAATCCCTCCGACTCTTTGAATTATCTGTTGGGTTATCCATACCTCTCTCAATAAAAGTATATTTCTACATCTAATAATGTTAAATATAACTTTTGCACATTTTATTATAGATACACGCATTGTCCTCTGTTTTGGTTATGTTCACGCTTCATTTAATGTATTCTTCAATCCATCTGTAAAGTCTTGACCATGTATTTTCAAAGCTTTCCTCTTTATGTCCTTTCAGAATTAAAGTTAATTCATCCATTTCGGCAGTTTCAAGTAGTTTGTTTATTATTTCTTCTTTGGAAGGTGTCTCCTTTCTTCTCTAATATTTAGCAAGAAAGAGAGATGTACCATGCATGCTCTAAAAACATGGCTAAGGACTGTCCTTGAACACTCTAAAACATGGTTAAGTATTTAGGGATGGCAGCCTCCAGGTGGGACCTGGGGATTCCCCAGAATTACAGCACATCTCCAAACTACAGAGATCAGTCCCCCTGGAGAACATGGATGCTTTGGAGGGGAGACTCTCTGGCATTGTACCCCATTGAGGCCCCTGTCCACCCCACGCTCCATCCCCAAATCTCCAGGAAATTCCTGACCTGGATCTGGCAACCCTGACCTGGATCTGGCAACCCTCCCCCCCCATCCCCTTCCAGTTGCCAAGGGGGACCTAACAACCCTACGTATTGTTACAGTAGGTAGGTAAGTAGGTAGGTAGATATAGACAGACAGACAGACACACATAGGATCATTCACAGGAAAGTCAGCCCAATACTTAACTGGACTCCAATAAACCTATTATCAGTGTCCTTTCAGAACTCTATCCAAAACACACTTTAGGAAATATAATATGGTCCAGCTCATGCACGACTCTATAATACCAGTCTCATATGATTGATTCAAAATGCAGGTAGGATAACCCATGTTCAAATGCTTCTCTGTGCAAAACAAAACAGTTACCTGCATCTAGGTGAGTTTCTTTGGAAAAAAGGCCACAAGAACACTCAAGCATGCACTCCCAAACATTTATTTTGATTTCACAGAGTCCCAGAAGTGCTCTACCATGTGATAATTCTGAACGCGATGCTTGGAGGGCCGATTCAGACAATTGTCCAACAGGAATTATTACGTGATACCGGAATTATTACATTTAGCAACTTAGCTGAGGCAGTATGTCTTCCAAGTCAATTTTCAAGCAACTTGATTTAACATATCCCCCCCCCCATTGCTTCCAAACTGTAAATACCACACCGTTTCCCAAGTTGCAAATCCTGCGGCCATTTTTCTATGTAAAGACTGGTACCTATCAAAAGAGGGCTCCATTTTATTGCCATGTCCCTTCTGTGCTGACAGTGATTTTATTGGACAAGCATTTGGCAGTTCCTGCTATTATTCGAAACCCTCTCCTTCACGTTTGCGAAGACTTTTAATCTTTTATTTCCTCCCTTTTAAATACATTTGGAAATTTTATAGAGACATCTTTACGAGGTCTTCACTCTCTTTTTTCTAACTTCAGCAAATTTAGCTTCCCCCATCACTATAGCTCTATGGTGGGAAAAACTTTTTAACAGAGGCTCTGTCAGGAAAAAACTCAGCAGACCTCATCACTATAATGGCTGTCACTAATCTCACTAAGAGCCACCACACTTTTAGATTTATCAGCAGATTTCCTTATTTTCACCTGGTAAGAATATGCAAGGGAGGGAAGGTGGTATGGTACAGCCCATTCTCCTTAGATCTCGAAAGCTAAGGCAGGGTCGGTACTTGGAAGGGAGACCACTGAGGAAGAATTTGCACAGGAAGGCAATGGCAAACCACCTCTGCTTCTCACTTGCCTTGAAGGCCCCTTGCTGGGGTTGCCATAAGTTGGCTGAAACTTGTTGACGCCACTTTACACACATAGCAAGAATGTGCAAATGCTTTCCCATTGAGGTTTTTAAACATTGTGGTTGAAATATTCACAGATCTCTGCTTCTCCTTCCAAGAACACTCTTTGGAATGGAATGTGTAGGAAAGATCGCTATGTTTGCATATTGGCGTTTCTACTGGACCAACAGTAGAACAGGACCAAAAGCAGCTTACATTGTTTTCCTCTCCTCCATCTCCTCGCCTCCATTTATTCAATTATTAATTAACTCAGTGAATAATTAAATTGTAGACTTTAAATTAAAGCATAGATGGCTTTACAATGGGGTTAGACAGATTTGTGCAGGGTATGTCCACCAATGGCTACTAGCCATGATGAGTAAAGGAAACCTCCACATTCAGAGGCAGGAGGCAAGGGAAGGCCTTGGCCTCTGTGACTTCTTTGTCAGCCCCTCAGGGCAACTGGCTGACTGCTGTGAGAAACAGGACGCTAGACCAGATGGACCACTCCTCTGATCCAGAAAGGCTCCTCTAAGTCCTTACAGTCATTTTATCCTCACAACAACCCCAACCCCATGTGTGCCTGGCCCAAGGTCACCCTTCAAGTTTCTGCAGTAGAGTGGGGATTTGAACCCAGATTTCCCAGATCCTAGTTCAGCACTCTAACCACTACACTGCACTGGAGAAGGGGGGGGAGGGTAGCATATGAATCCAGGGAAGGGTTAAAACTTAACAGAAACACTGAATGAGAGACTGTGGGCAGACCATGTTTCACAGGAGAAGAGGGAACAATATACCCCATGGCACAGAAGCAAGAGCCCCTTCTCCCAGATATCTTAAGGAATAACCACATCAGTGAGACCCATAAGGTCATGAACTACAGCATAAGGTGACTGTACAAAGTGACTCTCAATCATCATCAAATAGCATCAGTTCCTTAAAATCACATACAGCACTTGGGGGCACATTCAGATCTTTAAAATAAGGATAAATGGTCAAAGGAATAGGCACGTCTCAGGCAACAGGTCAGAGTAAGCAAGATATCAAGATATGAAGCTCTATTTTCTTCTTTTAACCCTGCTACTTCAGCTAAAGAAGAAGAAGAAGAGATTGGATTTATACTCCGCCCTTCACTACCCAAAGGTGTCTCAGAGCGGCTTACAAACTCCTTTCCCTTCCCCTCCCCACAACAGACACCCTGTGAGGTAGGTGGGGCTGAGAGAACTCTTTTGAGAACTGCTCTTTTTCAAGAACAGCTCTTATCAGAACGCACGTGCAAAGTAATTAATTTCTTGAGTCACTGCTGGGTCACTAAGAGCTTGTCCAAGTACTATACTGACTTCAGTGAATTTTGGACAGAGCCCATCAAAGCATAGAACGTGTGGTCCAGGGGGCATGCAATATGCTCCCACCCACCCCCGATGTAGGAATCTTAGGTTCAAGATCTATCTCTGCTACAGAGTCACCAAACAACTTTTAGATGAACATCTTTAATCTCTGCATGAATCAACCAATCAAAACATTATTGTTTAGCCCAGGGCCATACCAAAGATTTTTTGAAATGCAAACAAAAGTTCCCACTGATTATAATAATGATGGTGAAAAGTGGCGTCAAATCACAGCCAACCTATGGTGAC